TCTCCTCCCCATCTTCCTGTGTCTACATGTGGGGTGGGGGCTCCCAGCCTCTCCTGGGCTGGGCCCTCTGCCAGGGCATCTACAGAAGCAGCAGGGCCCAAGCATGTGTCGGGACGACTGCCTGGGGGACGTGCTCAGCCCTGCCTGCCCAGGAGGAACTCTGGGCTCTGGCCCACTGTCCTCCTAGCACTGCCCCTCGCCGGTCAGCCCTGCCTGTGAGCATGTGAAGGAGGGACCCTAGGAGGCTCTGCAGGCAAGACCAGCCCACAGGTGTGGGGGCTCTCTCAGGCGGCCTGAAGGCCACCAGGCAGAAGGGCCTTCCCCACCTCCCTGAAGGGATGAAGCCCCCTCCCCAGCCCTGCATAATGGTCTCCCCCTGCTGCTGTCTGGTGCCGCCCTACTAGCTCAGGGGTTCCCGAACCTTCTTGCTAAGACCAGAGCTGGGAAGGAGTCGTCTGGCTAGACAGGGGGAGTAGATGGAGGAGGGAGCCAAAGACAGACACCCCGAGGGGGCAGTGCCCTCCTCACCCGGGACAATCCTTGCCCCCCACCCCCACCCAATCGCCAGTCCTTGCTTGGGAGGTGCCAGTGGTTGGCCACAGACACACAACCTGTTTGGTGAGGACACGTGCCCTTGCACGTGGTTCGCAGGCTTGGAGACCGTGCCTCGGAAGAAAGGCTTGGTGATCCCCTCCAAGAGATCCGACAGGAAACCCAGTGTGTCACACAGTGCTGATCCGCGCACGTGGGGTCACCCCGGGCGGGAAAAGACCCCCAAGGCAACCAGTAGGGACAGGGCTTTCTAGAAATCGAGCAAGGTATAAAACCCAAACCCACTGCCAACTAGTCAATTCCGACTCACGGTGACCCTGTAGGGCAAGGCAGAATGGCCCCTGTGGGGGTTTGAGACTGGAAACAGAAAACCTCATCTTTCTCCCACAGAGTGGCTGATGGTTTTGAACTGCTGACCTGGGGGCGGGGAGGCGGCACTAACAGCCCAACTCTGTAACCCACTGTGTCTATCATAGAGCCTATGTTCCAAGGCTCCCAGGCTTTTCAGGAGCAGCCAGTATTGGAGCAACTAGTGGACTTGAACTCCCAACGCCACCGTTAGTCCAACGCTTAACTCACAGCACTACCAGGGCACATTCAGACAATCCCCTCCCCCCCCCCAAAAAAAAAGAAGACACTCCTCACTGCCATCAAATCAATTCCGATTCATAGCCACCTTATAGGGACAAATAGAAACTACCCTATGAGATTCCAAGACTGCCAATGTCTACGGGAGTATGGGAGCAGAAAGCCTCTTCTTTCTCCCAAGGAGCAGCTGGTGGTTTCGAACTGCCGGCCTCGCGATTAGCAGCCCAGGGTAAATGACTACGCCACCAGGGCTCCTCTGAGGATGTACAGGAACACGTACCTGAGCTGCTTTGTGTCCACCTGTTGCACCCCATCCCCACCACCAGCTCTGGGGTGGGGGTTGGGGAGCTCTGCTCTGCGCACCTTTACTGAGGTGGCGGCCATGCTAGGGAGGCCTTGCTTAGCACCCAGGAGCCGGCTTGGCCCTCTGCCCGGGGGCTGCCTTTCTTGTAGGCCCTTCTCCGGAAGTGCCCGCTCTGGAACAAGCTGTCCTCAGCGGGGTGGGGGGCACGCCAAGGTCCTGAGGGTCCCGTGCCCTTTGTGCCTGTTCGGCTCCATCCAGCTTGCCCTGGGGGCACGAGATGAGGCAAGGGGGTGCTGGCAGAGATGCTGCTGGCCATAGGTGGGTGGCCAGGGAGAGGTGGCATGTTTCTTACCAAGGCACTGCGCAGGCAGCCCCTGGCTTGTCTGGAGTGGAGGGGGTAGAAGCTTGGTGGCACTCCTGCTTTTATACTGGTCCAGCTGCTGTTCCACCCGTCCCGAGTGTAGGGAGCAGTGAGCCTGGGGCTCTGTGAGAGTTCCCAGGCCACGTGTGGGCAGGGGGCCTGCTGGCTGCAGTGTCTCAGAAAGAAGCTCAGGCCTGGCTCACAGCCTTGGCAGAGGGGGCACAGCGGGCAGCGAGACCTGGGGGACCACAGCAGGGCCTTTGCCCTGCCCTGAGTTTGTCTCCTGTGGAGCCTGTGCCCCCAGGATCCTCAAGGGGGGCAGGGGAGGACAGGGTGAGCTCTGGGGTACAGGGGAGCTGGGACCACAGTGGAGCCTCCTTGCTGGCTGGGACCCAGGCCTGTCCGTTCCTGGGGCCGTCTAGTGCATGGTGACGGAGTGCAGCACCCCCAGCACCCCAATCCAGGAGTGTCCGTGGCCCTGGTGGTGCCGTGGGTCAGATGTTTGGGCTGCAATCTGCGAAGTCAGCCATTCAAACCCACCATCCGCTCTGAGGGAGCAAGATGAGGCAGTCTGCTCCCCTGAGGACTGACAGCCTCCAACCCCCTCTGCCCTTGCCCTGTGAAGTCACTAGGAGTCAGAATTGACTGGAGGGTAGTGGGTTCATGACCCGAGGCCCGGAAAGCCCAATTGTCACAGCACGGCCTCCCGATCAGAGAAGGCTTAGGCCTGGGCTGGCGCGGACATCTTGCCCTGCAGGGGAGAGGGTGTGTGCAAGAGGGGCTTTTCCTGCTGGGGGAAGGGGTCTCTGGCTTTGTGAGCACAGCCTACACCCCTACTGCTTGGGTGGCATCAACTCAGAGCCAAAGTTGGGGTGGGCTGCACACCCAGGGGTGCCTCCGAAGATAGGACTGGCTAGCTACTTCCAAAAACCTAGCTGTGGCCTCAGTGCTACCCTGACAGGCAGACTTGGGGGTGGCATGGGTTGAGGTCCCCCCAAAATGGGGAGACTCAGGGGAGCAGCGTCTTGTGGTTGGCCTCGTGCAGGTCCCCAGATTTTCCCTTGTTTCCGGGAGGCTGGGGGCAGGGGGGAAGGGCACCCACTGTCCACAGAAGCCCCGTGCCCAGTCTCTGCTAAGTGGCATCTGCTTGGGCAGGGGCCTCTGCACGGGTCCCCTGGCTCACCGCCTCCCCCCACCCCCAACCCCTTCTCTCCCTGCTGCAGACATGAAGTTCATTTCAAACCCGCCCTCCATGGTGGCGGCCGGGAGCGTGGTGGCCGCGGTGCAGGGTCTGCACCTGGGCAGTGCCAGCAGCCTCCTGTCCTACCATGGCCTCACTCACTTCCTGTCTAAAGTCATCAAGTGCGATCCGGTGAGTGGGGCCCCGGGGCCTGTGGGGACGCTGGTGACAGGAGTTGGTGGGGACGTGGCCAGAGGGGAACCATCCACAGGCACAAGGGATGCCTGCAGGACCCTGGGACCCCGGCCAAGACCACCACCCAAGAGCACCATGTACCTCGGCTGGTCGTGGGCTTTCTCACGTGCCCTCAGGAAGCTGGGCTGATCAGTGGCCCCCCCACCCCACCCCGGCTTTGTCTGGGCGAGAATGTGCCCGTAGAGAGGTGTCCTCAGAGGTCTCCTGACAATGAGCCATGAGCTCTGGGAGGCGGCTACCCGGACACAGCCATTGCCTTCCTCCAGGCCTTTTGTCCTCTCAGACAAGGAATTACAATGACAATCAGCACCGGGGTTTGTGGCGGGGGACCAAATTAGACCCTAGAGGTTGGCAGGTCAGCAGTGGCCACCGGCAGTGTGTGAGTGACCTGTGCTGGGGAGTGTGTGGGGGCTACCTTTAGGGTCCCCGGCCCCCACGGATCCCGTCAGGGTGCTCAGCAGCACCACGCTGGCGGGGAAATCCTTCACACCCTTAGACACATACACACCCACAACACAGACCTCCTCTCTTACCCACACACCAGTCTTCACACACAATCCACACGTTCAGTGAGAGCCTTTGCACATACACCCACATGCACGCACACAGGAAACCTTCATAAACAGTACACACACACGGAAACTACACACACACACACAGAAATCTGCGTACACACACTCTCAGAAACCTTCACACCCACAGTGGAAACCATTACATTCTCCCTCTAACACACACACACACACACACACA